GTCCTGCCCCGTCCCCACCCTGGGGTAGGGCCTGGTCTTGTCTCCGAGGGGGGGTCACTGACTCAAGCCTGCCTGTCCTTGCCTCTCCAGCCCCCACCACCTACTGTGCACCCCACCCACCACCCACCCCCAGCCAGGGGTAAGTAGACCTGTGATTCTCCTGATGCCAAAACCACCCAACACTTCCCATGGGTGCCCAGCTAGCCCTCTGTCAGGGCTTCTAGGAGCCCCCACCCCTGCCACCTCATTCCTTGGCCTCCTGCACCACTTCCAGCTGAACTCAGTTACTCTCTGAGTCCTGTTTGCAACATTTCGTGGGCTGATGTTTCAGATGCCTTAGGTCAACTTGCCTGCCTAAACCTGAGCTAAGGAACAGCCCTCCCCATACCTCCACCAGACCGCCTATCCTCACACCCCGCGCCCACCCATCCCCAACCGTACTGGTCCTGTCCAGCGGCCTTGCCCCCCACACACACCCCCTCCGGGCTTCACCTGACCCCAGCCCCCCTCACCTGGCAACTCCTTCTCCGTGTCCGTGTCCACAGCCCTTCCACCGGTTCCCTACTGCAGCCCCATGCTGAGCACTGGAGGACGTCTTCCGTCTTCTCTCACCTTTAAGCCTTCAAAGGTCCCCTTTGCCCTCCAGATAAGTTCCCGCCTTGCTAGGGCCCCGCCCCCTTCCCTGTGAGGTTCCTCCCATGCTCCCCGCTGGGACTCCAAGCTGGCACTTCCTTCAGACCCCAGCCTCAGTGCAGCCTCCTCCGGAAGTCCCCCCCACCCTCTGCTCAGGTGTCTCCTTCCACTCCCCGGGGGACGGGTGGGGGGGGGGGGTTCCCATGTGGCCTCCATCACGGCTCCCCATCCCTGTGGGCTAGCTGTGGGCCTGCCTTCCTATGTCTTAGGCTCCGCAGTATCCACAAGGCCCAGTGGTCAGCACTGAGTGGACAAAAGAAGGCTGCAGGGTGGCTGAGCGGACTCAGTACAAAGCCATAGAAAACCAGTTTGTAAAAACACCCGTGTGCTGGACTCTTTCTTTATTGTGTCTAATCCTACAATAAGATGGCAGCCGGGCATTCTATTTCCCCATGTTAGAGATGAGGAAGCTGGGGCTTGCAGCAGCTGCCACAGTGAATTGAACAGCATTCCCCCGAATTCATATCCACCTGGAGCTCTGGATGTGACCTTATCTGGGAACAGAGTCTTTGTAGATATCATTAGTGTGGGCCCTAAATCTGATAACCAGTGTCCTTACAAGGTCATGTGAAGGGGGAGCCTGGGTGGTGCCGTCAGTTAAGTGGCTGCCTTCTGCTCAGGTCATGATCCTGGGCTCCTGGGCTCCTGGGCTGGAGACCCCCATCGGGCTCCCTGCTCAGCAGGGGGTCTGCCTCTCCCTCTACTCCTCCCCCTTGCTCATGCTTGCACTCGCCCTCTCCCTCTCTCAAATGAATAAATAAAAAATCTTGAAAAAGGGATGCCTGAGTGGCTCAGCGGTTGAGCGTCTGCCTTCAGCTCAGGGCATGATCCCAGGATTCGGGATCGAGTCCCGCATCGGTCTCTCTGCGAGGAGCCTGCTTCTCCTTCTGCCTGCGTCTGTGCCTCTCTCTGTGTGTCTCTCGTGAATAAATAAATAAATATCTTAAAAAAAAAAAAAAGCCACGTGAAGAGAGTGTGCCTGTGTCGGTTGAGCATCTGACTCTTGGTTTTAGGTCAGTTGTGATCTTGGGGTGGTGGGACCAGGCCAGCTGGACTCTGTGCTCAGCGGGGAGGCTGTTCAAGACTCTCCCTCTCTCTCTCCACTGTCTCAAATAAATAAATCTTTAAAAAGAAGAAGAAGGGGCAGCCTCGGTGGCGCAGCGGTTTAGCGCCTGCCTTTGGCCCAGGGCGTGATCCTGGAGACCCAGGATTGAGTCCCATGTCAGGCTCTCTGTGGAGCCTGCTTCTCCCTCTGCCTGTGTCTCTGCCTCTCTGTGTGTGTCTGTCATGAATAAATGAATAAAATCTTAAGAAAAAAGAAGAAGAAGAAGAAGAAAGCACTGAAGAGAGACACACACACACACACACACACACAAAAGAGAGAGAGAGAGAGACAGGTAATAAAGCCAGGGGTTAACAGAACCCCAGGTGGCAGTGATGTCACTGAAACCAAGGAATGTCAAGGATGCCAGCAACCACCAGAAGCTAGGAAAAAGCACAGGAAGGTTCTTCCCTAGAGCCTTCAGAGGCAGTGCAGCCCTGCCAATGCCTTGATTTCCGACTTCTAGTCTCCAGAACTGTGAGAGAATACATTTGTTTTAAGCCGTCAAGTTTTTGATAATTTGTTATGACAGTGACAGAAAACTAATACAGCTGCCTACTTTGCCTGAGTTTGTTCACTCTACAAGTGACAGGTCCAGGGGATTCCAATCCGTCCTGAGCCTGTACCCCCTCCACAGGGGTCCCTGGCCCTGCAGGGCAGGCTTACAACACATCCCTACAGGGCCAGCTCCAGGAGAAACTGTTTCTGTTGAGTGTCCATCTGCTTCTTTCCTCCTAGTGAGTTCCCAAACCTTCCTGCATCCTTCTTTGGAGGGGCTGCCAGAAGGCTCATTGTCACCTGGCTCCTTGCTGAGGTACCATAAGCCCTGCTGGTACCTGGGCTTGGTCTATCCCACTGGGTGGATACAGAAGAGGCCCAAAGGTCCAGTTCCGCCACAGCCACAGCCCTTCTCCCCTCCTGCTGGGTCATCTGGACTTTGGTTCCCTGTCACTCCAGCTGGGTCACCACATGGGGTGGCCAAGAGCTTGGGAAGCCAAAGGTGTGACTGGCACCACTACTTGTCTCCTAGCAGGCTCCCACTTGGAGCCCAGGATGCTCCCCAGCAAGGCCTGGGGTTTGGCTATGTCTCTCCCACCTGACTCTCTGACTCCCCAATTTCCCACCTCATTGGCTGCCTGGGGACCCAATTCAAGCCACTGAACCTCCATTTCAACCCTAGCGCCTGGGAGGACAATCATAGCACACTGCTTCCCTACACCCACCCCAATGGGGTCTCCACAAACACAGACCTACTGAGCAAGGCAATTCCAGGGAGAGATGCCAGCAGTCATCACTTAAATATGCACAGAGATTAGAAAGGGGGAATCATGCACCCCACTCCTGAGAGCACAGCTCTGTCTCTGGGTCCTCCTGTCCACTTCAGATTAGGCCAGAAACACTCCCCAAGAGCCAACTCAACCTAACCACCCCCACAGGAGGCAGAGGGAGGCCTACCCAGGCATCCAGGCCCAGACACCACCTCCCTCTTTTTCTGGGAAAATGTCCTCCAGGAATCTCTCAGCCAAGAGCACAGAGGGTGGGGTGGGGCTGGGGGGGGGGCAGTTCTCTGCTTTCCATAGGACTCTAACTCTGAGCACGCCCCTTGTGTCTCTGCCTGGGTTGCCCCCTCCCCAATCCCCCCTGCCCCAGCTTGGCCTTCTCATGTTTGAGGGGACAATTTCCAGGCCTGGCTCGGCCTCTGGAAGGATATGGTCAGGATTTGGGAGACATCCCAGCTCTGGCTTCAGCCCTCAGGATGTAGAAGAGAGGGAGGGGGTTCTTACCAGGCTGCCAGCTCTTGACAGGGGTCTGAGAAATCCCAGGGGGCAAAGGGCTGCTGCCTAAGTCTCTGGTCCCGTCAGGTCAGCGACAGCGCCTGGACCCTGGAGGAAGGCAGGCTGAGCAGTCATGCAGGTTTGCCAGGGAGGAAACCTGTAGTGCCAAGGTGGCCCCAGGACAATGCTGGCTACGGCGGGTGGGGTGGGGGGGTGTGTGTGTGAGTGGAGGCTGCTGGGTCCAGCTGGCAGATGGCAGGGGAAAGGGGCCCCAGGATAGAAAAGCTCTGGGGGGAGCAGTCCCAACGGGGGTGTCCAGGCAAACAACACAGGGTTTGGGGTTCAGTGGGTGGTCAAGTGGCAAGGATACTAAGCTATCTTCTGTCTTGTATCGGGCTCAGCCCTGGGGACCACAGAGTCCAGCACCCTGTCCCTAGACACACTCCTGGGAGGCAATACCTAACCCAAAAGAGGGGCCTGAATCTGACCTCACTTACCAACTGCCCTCAGATGGCCACTCCTCACCCCACAGACACCCTTTCTGTGCTCGCTCCTCCTTTACCTGTGCCCAGGCCCACTGTCCTAACAGTCTGGACACATCCTCTTTTGCTGTGGGAGCTGGGGGTCTGGAGCCTCATGCTCCAAATGTCCCCTACCCAGGGAATGTGAGGGCCCAGAGCTGGGGGGGGGGTTGGGGGGGCTGCCCCTCAAGTAGGCTCCTAGAGCTGGGTGGGTCCCTAGCTCAAGCTTGATCCCTAGAGGAGCCAGGACTCCCCCTCTTCACACTGCCTCCCCACCCGTCAAGTAGAAGAAGGAAGCCTGGGGCAGGTGCATCTGACCTGCTACCAGCCTGCTCTGAGCTGGCCCTACACGTAACCGGCACTCTTCATCCCCCAAATCTCCCAGGCCTGGGTCAGAGGAAGGGCACACCACCTAGCCTGCCCAGCCCTGTCCCCAGTCAGGCCGGAGGCGCAGTAAATATTTGGCGAGCAGGAATGCGTATGCAGGTGGACTGGTCAGCTACTGCGGTCGCCCACTGCCTGGGGAGTCCCTGAGCAGGTGACGGCACAGTCCCCCCGGATTCCGATCCAGCGCTCGCAGCACCACCAAAGCGACGGGGCCAGTCAGCGCGGAGGCCACGGCCGAGCCCCGAGCCGGCTGCCCTCCCTCCGCGTCTCCAGGCCCCGCTCCGGACCAGCCCAGAGCCCGGGCTGGCGTGGCCGCGGGGGGGGTGGGGGTGGCGGGGGGCGGGGGCTCTGCTAGCGAGCGCTCCCGAAGCAGCAGGGCCCCCCCGCCCCCGGGTCCCCGCGGTGCAGCCCGGCCGGGCCCCCCGGGTCCCCGCGGTGCAGCCGGGGCGGGGCGGGGCGGGGCCGGGGGCGGGGCGCACACGGCCGGGACTCCCTCGGGCTCGGCGCCCGCGGCGGGCGGCCATGGGGGCGCGGCTGGGCCGGCGGAGCGGAGCCGAGGCGGGCTCGGAAGTCGGGGCGGCGGCGGGGTGCGGGCCCGCGCCCTATGAGCGCCGGGTGCGCTGGCTCCGCGAGATCCAGGCGACGCTCCGCGAGCGGCGGCCCGAGCGCGCCCGGCAGCTGCTGCGCCTCCTGCGCCAGGCGAGAGAAGGAGCGGGCCGGCCGGGGGCCGGGGCCGGGGCCGGGGCCGGGGCCGGGGCCGGGGGCGGTGGTCGGGGCCGGGGGTCGGGGTCGGGGTCGGGGCCGGGGGCGGGGGCGGGGGCCGGGGCCGGGGCCGGGGGCGGGGGCGGGGGCGGGGGTCGGGGCCGGGGCGAGGGGCGGGGCGCGCAGCTGGCCCCGGGCGCGGGCGGGCGGGTCCGCGGGGGGTACGGAGGGCTGAGGGGTCTCGTCGGGGCGGGGGCGCGAGGGAGGGGAAGCCGTCCCCTGGAGTGGAGGCCGCTGAGGCTGCGGGGGGCGGGGGGGCTGTGATGCGGAGGAGGGGCCGTGACGGTGGCCGCCTCTCTGGGGTTTCAGAGGTCAGTCTGTGTGTGTTGAAGGTGCCCCAAGCTTGGAGCCAAGAACCCAGATTCAGGCCTCGGCAGGAGAAGAGTAGAGCTGGGAGGAGCGGCAAGGGAGGGGTGAGAAGGGGTGACATCTTGTGCTGAGGGGCAGGGGAGGAGGACAGCTCCTCTCTCCTTGGGGTGAAGGGAGGCGGGGACCCGCAGCTGGTCAGCCTGCCCAACCTCACCATGACACTACGGCAGCCCAGACAGAGCTACAACTCACATCACCCATCCTCCTAACAGGCAGATCACCTCCGTTTGGTACATACACCTGGCATCTGTACACCACAACAGCACGTCTGGATTGGGGTGGGGGGGATTGTGCCTCTGGTCCCACACACACCAGGTACCTGAGCCAGCCTGGGGTGCCCCGGGGAGACATGGGTTCTGGTCCCAGCATCACCACCGGGCAAGCCACTTCCCTTTCTGGCAGTGTCCCCACCCCTCGAAGCAGCTACCACCACAACCTGCCCCGTCCTGGAATCTGAATCAGCATGCAGGTGTTTGGCCTACAGGTGGATGATTAGAGAAGAGAAACTGAGGCTTGGACAACAGTGGTGAGCCTCCAGCCACAGAGAAAATTAGGGGGGGCAGCCAAGGCCAGAGCCCAACCCCTGGCCTCCCAGCCCACTCCCTGCTGTGCTGGGCTTCCTTCTCTGGGCTTCCCCAGCTGGAAAGGTGGGGCTGGCCCTTTAAGAGGAGCTGTCCGCACCAGCAGAAGGTTGGCTGTGTGTCTGGGGCCCTGTCTGGGTCAGCCCAGGCTCACCAGCTAGCCCTCTCTTCTGGATCCTCCCTAGCTGGCATTTGTAACTTGAATGGTGTTTAAAACACAAACAGCAAAGCAGCACCGAATCAGCTAGACCATCCAGAGGCACAGATCTTTGTCTAGAATGGTATCTGGAACCAAAGCACCAGCAGGACATTTTTTTTTTTTTTAACTGGGAAAGCAGTGATGTTGCCCCCTTGTGTCTCAGAGGCCAGAATTCCCAGCCAAAGAGGGGGCTACCCTGCTCCACAATCCACAAGGACTCCACAGTTATGGCCCTTGGGCATTCCCACCTGGCCTGTCTGCCTGTGCACAGGGTCTTTAAGCACAGATCGTGTCACTCTGTGGCTTGGGGAGGGCCCAGGGGTCTGGAGGCCCCCCCCCCCGGCTGTGCCTGCCCCATCAGCTTGTCAGTATATACTCTAAATGGGCACTCTAAAAGGATGTTCAGTACCACACCAGGCCTATGGGAGTAATGGGAGGAGAAGCCCAAGGACTGAAGGCAGGAAGGCCAGGGCAGGCCAGGGACCCAATGGTGAGGTCTCTGAGGGGTGGGAGACATGGAGGCTGGACAACATGGCCAGTGGGCTGGGGAGGGTGGGAATGCCAGACCGAGCATGAGTCTAGTGTTGCACAATGAGAGCCATTTGGTTTCCAGTAAAGGGGTTAAGGATCAAGCTTAGGTGCGTGTTTCCTAGAGCTGGCTCTGGCAGCCCAAGGGTAGGATGAGATGGGTGTTGGGAGGCTGAGAGGCCCAGGAGGAGGTTGTTAGGGAGAGAAGCCTGAACCTCTTGGGCCAGTGGGGAGGGTGAACTGGGCAGAGATGGGAGAGGGAAGAGTGCCGGGTGGTTCTGAGCTCTCACTTGAGTGCTGGGAAGATGGGGACAGTGATGCCCTTTACTGAGCTGGGGCACAAGAAGTGAGGCCAGCTTCAGGTCAGGAGGTGAACACACCCAGTCTAAGCTGCCTTTGGGATATCTGAGCTGAGAGAGAGGTCCAGTCCCACAAATGGGACCTGGACCTGTCAGCAAACAGATGGTGACCAGAAGTCTAGAGAGCTTGGGAATAGATGGAAGAGGCAAAGGGCCCCAAGGGAATGTGGGAGGATGGCAGCATTTGGGGGTCCTCAGAGGAACCCCCAAAGAACCCTCCAGACAAGCCCAACCCCAGAGGTAACAGGTGTCATAGTACCATATTTTGCCTCCAGGGAACCAGTCTAAGGGTTTTGGAACCTATTTATCATCTCCCTGAAGCCCCCGGTGCACTGACACTCTCCTCATCCAAAGGGTCCCCTTGCTTCTGGACAGTTGGCCCATTGCCGCCTGGGAAGAGACTCCAACAAGCATCAGAGAGGGAGACCGAGAACTGGGAACAGGGGCGAGGGTCTGGCTTAGATGGGGACCTGGAGACGGGAGAGCCCAACTCCTGGCTCACTCAGCTCTCCTCACCACGCACAGGACCTGGGCCTCGAGGGGACCCTCCTCACTGACATCCTCTACAAGAATGTGGCCTTCCTCAATCTGGTGGACCCCATCTCCCATGACCTGCTGGTGAACCTGGCCCGGGACCTGCAGTGCCCCAAGACGGTGAGGCCAGTAGACGTGGGCCTCAGGCTGGGCAGTGCGGCTGACAGGGACCAGGAACACCCAGGGCTGGAGGCTAGGAGCCTTGTGTTCATCTGGCTTGCTTCAAGGCTTAAAGCAGGTCAATGTCCCTCACTGGGACCTGATGCCAGTTTCAGTGTATTAGGATGGCAAGCAGCTAACACCTGTGAGCTGTGCTTTCCTACATCTGAAAAGTCATGTGTTGGTTAAACCTGCTTCCGCAGTGCCAGCGCTGTGCGCCAGGGCCTGGGACCCAGGCAGAAAGTCATACAGGGACACTGCGGGACATAGAATGTTCTGATAAATCTGCTGATGGAACCAAGCTCCCAGCCTCTGAGTTCCTGGGGCCAGAAGAGAGCCACCCTAGGCTGGAATCCCTGTCCGCATGTCCCCATCCTGTATGGATACATCTGGGGACAAGTGTGCACTGCTTCCCACAGCAGTGTGAGCCACAGGCAAATCCCTCCTCATGTTGAATTGGAATTTGCTATCTGTGGCCTCCATCCTCCCTCCTCCCAAGCCACCACATCTGCTCCAAACCCTGCTTTGGTGGCACCTGCAGATACCTGGCCACGAGCATGGAAGGTGCTGTGCTCCTGACACAGCCACCAGCCTCCATCCCTTAGTCACAGGTCTCTGTGTGAAACAAGGATGCCCACTATGGGCCCAGCCAGCTCTGAACTCCCACATCTATAAGCAGGCATCACAAGGATTCTGAGGCTAGCTTCGAGCCACACTGACTGCCAGGGCTTACTGCCACTGTGTGTACGCACCGTTAACAGAGGAACAGGATAAAGAATGTGCTGGATAGTGGAGTGTGCTCAGTGCCAGCTTTGTGGAAAGCAGAGCATCCCTGTTTTTCCCCCTCCACGCTAGGTTTCTCTGAGGGCCCACTTAAGACCAGGAGAGAGCCAAGTGGTGGGACTGTAACACATTAACCCTCCCAGCCCTGGCAGCCCAGACCCAGGCCCCATAGGCACGGTCTAGCTTGGAGAGTGAGAGGAAGAAGAGCATGCTGACCTGGCTTGTTCCTATTCCCTGGGGGTGGCGTCAGTGGAGCAGGGCTCCCTGGAGGGGCCTGGTCCTGCCTCCCCCTGTGGCGAGTTGCCGGGGAGCGTTGAGGGTGGGCAGGGAGCCGGCTGATAGCCCCGAGACACTGGCCTTGGGCCTGAGGACAGGGAACAAGGGCCCATTGTCTAGGCTTCCTCCCGCCGGGCACCGCGGGCTTCAGACCAGCCTGTCCAGTTCCCAGTGGCAGCCTCCCCTGGCTGTGTGCCAGGCTCCAGCCAGGGTGGGGGGTGGGAGGGGGAGGCCAGTGGTCAGCTCAGTGATCCATGATGAATCATGTGCTGGGGCACACACTTGGATCCCCAAGGCCCAGAGGGGGATGGGAGGGACTCAGCCTTACCCTGACAACGCTTCCCCTCAACAGGACTATGAGCTCTGGAAGTCCTCGGATAAGATCTGCCGGCAGCTCATCTACCATCTCACCCCTCACTCCAAGCGGCAGCGAGGATCCAGCCTGCCCCGGAGGAAGACCCTGAGCTGGTAAGGGGAGCCTAGCCACAGCCCCACCTCATGGCCCCTTAGGGTCCCTTCCTAGGCCGACATGGAGAGGCAGCTCAGCAAGAGGCTGGTGCCTGAAACCGTACCCTGTGAGCCCCACTCTTGTCTGCATCACAGCTCTGGAATTCTCCCCAAACCAAGCTGCACCCTCTCTGTGACCTGCCTCCATCACCCCTCAATCCCTGGCCTGTCACAGGGCCTGGCCCCGACCCCTGAATCCTCACAATAGGCTGTGAGGGAGACAGATTCTGGGTCATGATTCCAATTTTATAGGAAAGGAAACCAAGGTGGGGAGAGGCCAAGTGGCTTGCCCAAGGCCACACCCTGCCCTAATTTTCCTAGAGCTCTTTAAAAAGCCTTGCTAGGCTGCCTGAAGCCAAGGCCTCCACCACCAGCCTGAGACCTATTCTGCTGTGGGGTTCCCTTCCCAGTCACTCCATCACAGCTCTGTGGCCAGACTCAGCCTAGGGACTTGCTGTGGACACCAGGTCCAGGGACCTGGAACCACGGCTCCGGTACTCTCCCCTGCTTGCTTCCCTACCCCTGAGCCTGGTGGTTCACAATGAGCCCAGAGCCCATGGGGTTGTTCCCTCCCTAGCAGTGGTCCCCCCTGCCTAACTGCATAGTAGGCCATGTTCAAACGACAGTAGAGACCTAGAGGGCAGTTCCAGGGGTGGTGGAGGATGCTTCTCAGTCTCTAAACTTTCTTTCCAGCTTAGAACATAGGGGGCCCTTCACCTCCCAACAGCCCACGCCCACACGTCCCAACACATCCCCTCTTGCTCCTCCCCTCTTGCTCCTCTAGCCCCCAAGGCCAGGGGGACTACCCTGATACCCTGTCACCCCCATAGGAACATCTGTCTGTACCCACAAAAGGTGGACTTTGGAGGAGACATGGGGGAAAAGATGTGGGCTCAGCAGTTAGAGTACCTCAATTTGAAGACCTGGCTTCTCTCTCTTAGTAGTATGTGACCATGGAAGAGTCCTGTTACCTCTCTGAGCATCATTTGCTCCTCTGCAGAATGAGATCATTCTTACTCTAGATATAATAAGAGTGACAACGTAGGCACGCAGTAAGGTTTTATAATAGTGGCTCGAGAAACCTTAACACATGTATCTTTATTCTTCATATCAGCCAAGTCTCCTTTTCACCAAAGGAGAAACTGAGGCTCAGAAAGGTTCCAAGAATTGACCAAGGCCACCCGTGTAGGAAGTAGCAGTTTGATCCCAGTATGGCCTGACAGTAGGGCCCAGGTCCTGCCACCACTGTGGGCTGCCCCGACGGGTGACTGTCTGCAGCTGGTGGGGCCTGCCTGGGCCATGGATGCTGGCTCAGTCCATCCTTGCCTGCAACCCTCCCACAGCCTCAAGAGCAGCCTCCAGATGACACAGCTGACCGGGGAGACCGTGAACCTCTCAGGGATTTGGCTGTCGGCGCGTGATGTGCAGCATATCACGCGCTACCTGGGAAGCCAGGGAGCTGGGCTCACGGTGCTGGACCTGAGCTTCACAGGGCTGAGTGACGAGCTGTTGCGCCTGCTGCTGCCCAGCCTCTGGACACTGCCCCGCCTCACCCAACTCCTGCTCAACGGCAATAGGCTGACGAGGGCCACTGCCCGTGAGCTCACTGAGGCTGTCAAGGACCCCACCAAGTTTCCTGCGCTGGCCTGGGTGGACCTGGGCAACAATGTGGACGTAGCCTCCTTGCCCCAACCCCTGCTGGTTGGCTTGCGCCGGCGACTGAGCCAACACACTTCACTCCCCACCATCTATGAGGGCCTGGACCTTGAGTCTGAGGGTGGCACGGCTGAAGCCACCTCCACGGCCTCCACCTGGGGCTCAGTGGCTGCTGGGCCAGGGTCTGAATCCCAGGCCTGCTGCACGAGGTGACCCGCCACCCACCCTGGCTCCTACCTGAGTGCCAACACTCTTAGGCACGTGGGATGGAGGATGATGGAGGCCTTCCAGGACCCCGGAGATCCGGTGTAAATGCTCAGCCTGGAATGAAGGGGATGGAAGGAGACTGGCCTCACCAAAGGCCAGCCAGTCAGCCTAGGATCAAGTGTGAGGCTTCTCCCAGCAGGGAGGGAGGGCCCAGCACCCGCAGTAAAAGGTGATGCCCCCTCTGCTTCAGCCTTTCTACACTGTGGACCTCAGGGCCGCTGAGCGCCAGCCCTGCTTCTGGGGTGGGGAGAAGGGGTAGCCAAAGGTTCGGGGGTGCTGCCCACCTGAAAGGGAGGGACCAAGCTTACACTGACTTCCTGCAGGTGCTGCCTGGGCAGACCCCATGGTGCAGGGTCAGGTCTATCTGTGGGCAGGGGCTTAGAGGAGGCCTCCAGGGACCTGACCTTAACAGCTGGGTGGGGCTTGGAGTGGAGCAGGTTGGGAGGCTACAGAGGGGCAAAGCTCAGAATGGAGCCCCACAGCAAGCTTGGGCCTGAGGCCAGGATGCTGACCTCCCCACCAGGACCCCTTGGGCTGGGGATAAGACTGTGCTGACAGGAGGCCACAAAGGGCAGGTGCAGCCCCCCCCCAACTGGGACCCATCCCCCTGTACTTAGTGGGCAACTCCATGGGGTTAGGAGATACCTCAGACCAGAAACAAAGAGCTTGTGTGTTCCCTCCAGGCCCTGACAACCCATGTGCACAGTCATTCCTCTGGAGGACCCCCAGAAAGCATGCAGGAGGTAGAGGTGGACACATCAGCAGTGGGAGCTGGGAGTGGAGCATTCTGAGCACTGCCCCAGGGGCAGTCGGCTCCCAGCAAGGGGCTATCTTCTGTCTCCTCAAGGACCATCAGGGCAGGCTCCAGATCAGAAGCCTAAAGCCATGGTTACCTGCTCAGCCATGTGTGAAGACCTGGAGTACAGCCCAACTAGGAGTCATTCAGAGCAAAGAAAGACAATGAAGGAATTTAAAGATGTCCAGGGGGGAAACTGAGGCTCAGAATGGGGAAGCCAGCAGCGGAAGTCTCCCAGGTCAGATCTAGGGCAGTGGTGATGCTCATGGATAAGGAGAGACCTGATGGCAGAGAGAAGCTCCAAGGGCCAAAGAGAAGGTGGGGCACTCCCCTGGGCCTACATACCCAGGCCCACCAGTGACCTTCCTCCACAGTCAGGACCATGAGTCAGCAATGATTCCAGGTCAGCCAGATGCATAAGAGCCTCTTGGGCCAGAAAGGAGATGGCCAAGAAGGGTGAGGACGGCATGGTGCTGGGTTCCAGGAGCAGGAAGGAGGTGGGGAGGAAAAGGAGCTCCCCCTCTGCTGCCGCCTGCCCCTCCACCCCCCCACCCACCACCCGAGGACAGGCCCCTGCCAGCCTGGCTGCTTTTGGAAGAACCCTTATCCGGAGGTGGTGGGAAGGGTGTGAATTACACCAGGTTCAGCCCAGCTCTGCTCCTGACTCGCTGTTGGGACCTGGCCAGGGCCTCCTCTCTCCTGGCCTTGGGTCTCTCCTTTTTCCTCTGTGTTAAGGCTGGCTCTCCAGAGTCCCTTCCAGCTCTCAACCCTCCATCCTGGGGTCCTGGCCCCCTCAGTCCTCCTTGTTTTAAAGACATGGGCCTGCCCATTGGCCTGGGAGCCACAGAAGTATCTCCGGTGCCCTGGCTCCGGAACAAGGGGCTCAGGCTCCCCGGAGCAAGGTAGAGCAGGGTGGGAGATGAAAAGGGCCAGAAGGGAAGAGAAAGATGGGGAAGCTGGCCTTGCCCTGGGCAGGCTGTTAAGTCCACCACAGGCAGGCAGCCGTGTTCTGTGATTCCTTGCTGGAGAAATGCCGAGCTCGCTGTCCTCCCTGCCCTCCTGCTCCCCTCGCTCCCTGCCCACCACTGGCCCAAATCCAGCCCACAAACCTTGAACGCCGCCGCTGGGAGAGATTCCTACCAGGATGGTGTGCCGACCTGAGCGGGGTGTCACCAGGCGAGCTCTGGGAGAATTCAGGCAGCAGCAGCTGGTCTCAATCTCCCCGCCTCTCAGACGGAGGCACGCGATGCAATAGCTGAGCTCGAACATAAAACAGCTCAAGAGAAGAGGGTTGGCCTTGTTGCCAGGCAGGTGTCACAGCCCCTTCATGAGCCCTCATGCCAGGGGCCTCATGGCCATCAGCGAGGCTCCTCTATCGGCAGAGACACTCCAGGAGGAGGGGTCTTGTGCCTTGTGAAGCTTTGGGGGCAGAGAGCCCCCACCAGGCAGGCTCCAGCCTGAGTTCCAGACCCCAGAGGCAACAGATAGGCCTTGCCCAGGCCTAGTCTTGGAGGCAGATAGGCTCAGCTCGGTCCTGGCCCTGTCACCCACTGGTGGTGTCCTCTCGGAGTCTGTTCCTTCATCTTGGGAACTAGGTACACCAAGCCTCCCCTTGTCCTGCTGGAGAGAGCATGACACGGTCTGGAAAGCGCCTGCTGCGTGGGAGGGCACAGGGCAGGCACACTCTTCAGCGTCAGTGGAGCCTCCACCCAGGGCTCCCTGGATGGGAATGGCAGGAGCCCAAACCTCCAGGACTCAGCAGAGCTGAAGCCATTTATTTATTTAGAGAGCACTTCTGTAGCCTTTCCGTGGGCCAGGTACTGTGCAGATGGCTTTACATTCCTTTAATTCTCTTTGCACTTATAGGTGAGTGAACTGAGACAGGGAGAGGTCAAGTGATCTGTCCAAGGTAAAGAGCTAGAAACGAGAGAAGCCGGGATGTGAGCCAGGAGGCCTGGGTTGTCTGTGATGCTAACGCCAGCCTGATGCCGCCTGTCCCACAGCCATCCCGGGTTGGGGGCAAAGGGTGGTTGCTGAGGGTTCATGGGAATTCTTGAGCAAGCCCCCGCCGGAGACACCATTTGACATAGCAGACCTGCTTTGATGGCAGGTGTCCTGCAGCTGAAGAGACCCTCAGCCACACTCGCCCTAGCACAAGACCAATCAGGACCTCCCTGGGCCTATTTCTTTGTGTGCAAAATGGGTGCAGAGGGGAGCAGTGAGGACCTAGGCTTTGCCCTTTTCCACGATTGAAAGGGACAAATGGGGAGTGGGTTCAAAAGCACTCAGCAGCCTGAATGAAGCCCAGCCCTGTACTTAGGGTGCGGGATCGATGCCCACTTCTGACGGTCTGAGTGGGACAACTGCAGTTACTTTCACCTCTCTGGGCATCAGCCTCCTCAAGCTTAAACATGCTTTGCCAGGATGTTCAGAGCATTGGAGGGAAACATGTAGGAAAGATACCTGTGATCCACAGGACCTCTGTGACCTGCTTGGGAACTTCTTTACTGCCCAGAAGGGAAAATATTTGAGTCCAGATAAGGTGCTTTCCATATGAATCTACAGCAAATGTCAGCCTCTGCTGAGTCTTCATCTTGAAAATCCAAAATCTCATGCAGCTGATCCGAGTGGTTGATATCAACCCAGCACAGAGGTTTTTCTCTAGGTTCTAGAGGGAAAGGAAAACACACTTCCTCTTAGAGATGATTGCAAATCATCAGTGAAAACCAGTATTTCCTTTCCCAACTGTATACTTCAGTTTTAATTTTTAAAAATTATATTGTGTTTTTATCTTTAAAAAATATATATTTATTTTTAGACAGCGAGAGCATGCATGAGCAGGGGGAGGGGCAGAGGGAGAGAGAGAGAAAAAATCTCAAGCAGACTCCACACTGAGCATGGAGATTGACGCAGGGCTCAATCGCATGACCCTGAGATCATGACCTGAGCCAAAATCAGGAGTCTGGCACTTAACTGACGGAGCTACCCAGGTGCCCGCAAAATTGTATTGTATCTTAAGATTTTATTTATTTATTTATTTGAGACAGAGAGAGAGCATGAGCAGAAGTAGGGGCAGAGAGAGGGATAAGCAGGCTCCACACTGAGCAGGTTGCTTGTCGCAGGGCTCGATCCCAGGACCCCAGGATCATGATCTGAGCCAAAGGCAGATGCTTAATAGACTGAGCACCTGGGCACCCTTGAACTGACTTTTAAATGGAAACACAACATATCAGAATTTATAGGATGCCACTAAAATAGAACTTGGCGGGGGTACATTTATAGCAGTAAACATCTATTTAAGAAAAAAAAGAAAGGTCTCAGATCAATGATCTCAAGCTATATTAATACCAGACAAGAAAATTCACTTAAGAATCTAGAAAAAGGGGTTCCTGGCTGGCTCAGTTAGTGGAGCATGTGACTCTTGATCTTGGGGTTGTGAGTTCAAGCCTTATGTCGAGTATAGAGATTATACAAAAATAAAAAAAATAATTAAAAAAAAGGATCTAGAAAAAGAAGAGCCAATGAAAACTAAAGTAAGCAGAAAGAAGGAAATAAAGATCAAAGTGGATATCAATGAAATAGAAAACAGAAAATCATAGAGAAAATCAAGATGATAAAATTGATAAACTTCTAGCCAGACTGATCAGGAAAGAAGAAAGAAAAAAAGACACAATTACCAATCTCAGAAATGAGAGGGGTGATTACTACAGATTCCACAGATATTGAAAGGGAATATCATGAAAAATTTTGTGCCAACAAATTGAACAACTTAGATGAAATGGACAAATTCCTTAAAAGATCCAAAATACCAATATTTAAGAAGTAACTAACCTGAATAGTCCTATATCTATTTTTTTTAAATTTTTATTTATTTATGATAGTCACAGAGAGAGAGAGAGAGGCAGAGACACAGGCAGAGGGAGAAGCAGGCTCCATGCACTGGGAGCCCGACGTGGGATTCGATCCCGGGTCTCCAGGATCGCGCCCTGGGTCAAAGGCAGGCGCTAAACTGCTGCGCCATCCAGGGATCCCCTCCTATATCTATTTTTTTTAAAGATTTTATTTATTTATTCATGAGAGACATGAATATTTAAGAAGTAACTAACCTGAATAGTCCTATATCTATTTTTTTTAAAGATTTTACTTATTTATTCATGAGAGAGAGAGGGGGGCAGAGACACAGGCAGAGGGAGAAGCAGGCTCCACACAGGGAGCCCGACTTGGGACTCGATTCCGGGGCCCCAGGATCACGCCCTGGCCTGAAGGCGGCACTAAATCTCTAAGCCACCAGGGCTGCCCAAATAGTCCTATATCTATTAGAGAAACTGGAATTGTAGTTGAAAACTCTCTACAAAGAAAATTTCAGGTCTGTTTGCCTTCACTGAGGAATTTTACCAAATATTTAAGGAAGAAATAGTATCAATTCTCCACAAACTCTTCCAAAAAAAAATTAAAGAGAAGGAAATAACTCATTTTATGGGACCAGAATTACCCTGATAAGCAAAACCATGCAGGCAAAGAAAGATATTACAAGAGAAGAAAAGAAAACCATAGTGAGATGCTACTACCCCAGAGAAAATGAAATATATGTTCATGCAAGACCTTGTATATGACTATTCATAGCAGCTTTATGTGTAATAGCTAAAAAGTGGAAACAACCCAAATGTCCACAAATGGTGGTACATCCATCCAATAAAATACAACTCAACAACTAAGAGGAATCGATACATCCAACATCGTGGGAGTCTCAAGATAATTACGCTGAGTGAAAGAAATATAAAAGAATACATCCCATATTTTTGCATATAGCTAAAACCGTAGGGGTGCCTGGCTGTCAGTAAGAAGAACGTGACACTTGATCTCAGGGTCGTGAGTTCAAGCCCCACATCAGTGTAGAGATTACTAAAAGAGTAAATAAATAAATGAACTTAAAAAAAAAACACCTCTAGGGAACCCTGGGTGGCGCAGCGGTTTGGCGCCTGCCTTTGGCCCAGGGCGGGATCCTGGAGACCCGGGATCGAATCCCACGTCGGGCTCCCAGTGTATGGAGCCTGCTTCTCCTTCTGGCTATGTCTCTGTCTCTGTATCTCTCTCTCTCTCTCTCTCTGACTATCATAAATAAAAAAAAAAAAAAAAAAACAAAAACAAAAAAACACCTCTAGAAAATGCAAACTAATCTATAGGGGCAGCAAGCAGGTCAAAGTCCTTCCTGCTTGGAAGGGAGTGGGCAGGGAGGGGCAGAAAGGAGGCATTATCAAGGGGTACAAGGAAATTTTTGGAAATGACAGGTATCTTTACTGTCTTGATTGTGGTGGTGGTGGTTTAATGAAAGTCAAAATGTCACCATATTGTACATTTTAAATTGTAACACTTGTTGGGGCACCCGGGTGGCTTAGTAGGTTAAGCTTCTGATTCTTGGTTTCTTCCACTTAGGTCATGATCTCATGATCATGAAAAGGGTCATGAAACTGAGATGGAGGCCCCTTCAGGCTGTGCACTGAGCCAGGAGTGCACTTGCAGATTCTCTCCTTCTGCCCCTCCTCCCACATGCACAGGCACGCAGGCACATGTGCCCACTCTAACAAATTAAAATAAAATAAATATAAAAAATAAATTGTGGGGATCCCTGGGTGGCTCAGTGGTTAAGTGCCTGCCTTCAACCTAGAGCATGATTCTTGAGTTCAGGGATCGAGTCCCGTGTCGGGCTCCCTGCGTGGAGCTTGATTCTCCCTCTGCCTGTGTCTTTGCCTCTCTCTTTCTCTCTCTCTCTCTCTGTCTGTCTCTCATGAGTGAATAAATAAAATCTTTAAAAAAATAAAATAAAATAAATTGTAACAGTTACTATGTCCACTTTTATTTCAGTTGTACTACAATGAAGGATTATTTAAAAATACAATACAGGGGTGCCTGGGTGGCTCAATCGGTTAAGGGAGCCTGCTTCTCCCTTTCCCTCTGTCCCTCCCCCTCCGCCCGCTCTTGGTGGAGCACAAACCCACACTCTCTCTCAAGTAAATAAAATCCTGAAAAGAAAGAAAGAAAGAAAGAAAGAAAGAAAGAAAGAAAGAAAGAAAGAAAGAAAGAAAGAAAAAAGTTCAAACAACTAATTTCTCTTTTGCCTTCTTCTTTGATCCATGGGTTACTTAGAAGTGTGTTATGTTATTGTGTTTCCAATATTTAGAGATTTTCCAAGGATCTTTCTGCTAATGACTTCTAATTTAATTTATTTGTGGTCAGACAACATAGTTAGTATGGCTTTGAAGCCTTTTTAATTTTGGTAAATGTTCTGTGTGTGCTTGAGAAGAATGTGTACTCGAGAAGAATTTTGCTGTTGTTGAGTGGTTCTATTAAGTGTTAATCAAAATAAAGTTGACTACTATACCCTGCTGACTTTCTGTCTACTTGAGCTATTATTGAGAGGGGAACTGAAACCTCTGACTGTAATTAGATTTGTCTATTTTTTGTTGCATTTTTTGCATCAGGTATTTTGAAGCTTTTTATTAGATGCATAAATGTTTAAGATTTTTATGGCTCCATGAATAACTGACTCTGTCATCATTAGGAGATGACCATTATCCCTGGCAAGACTTCTTGCCCTGAAACCTACTTGTCTAATATTAATGTAGCTAGAGCTACTCTAGCTTTCTTTTAATTAGTTGTTAGCAATGGTATTATCTTTTTCCACCCTTTTACTTTTAACCTATTTGTGTTTTTATATTTAAAGTGTGTTTCTTGGGCAGCCCTGGTGGCTCAGCGGTTTAGCGCCGCCTTCAGCCCAGGGCCTGATCCTGGAGACCCAGGATTGAGTCCCACGTCAGGCTCCCTGCATGGGGCCTGCTTCTCCCTCTGCCTGTGTCTTGGCCTCTCTTTCTGTGTGTGTCTCTAATAAATAAATAAAATATATTTTTTTAAAAAGTGTGTTTCTTGGGTGACTGGGTGGCTCAGGAGGTTAAGAGTTTGCCTTTGGCTTAGGTCATGATCTCAGGGTCCTGGGACTGAGTCCATGCAGGGCTCTCTGCTCAGCAGGGCATCTGCTTCTCCCTCACCCTCTCCCTCTGTGCTCTCCTCCCCTCTTCCTTTCTCAAATAAATAAATAAAATATTAAAAAAAATTAAAGTGTGTTTCTTACAGGTAGTATGTAGTTGGGTCCTGCTTTTTTATTTAATTTTTTACTTAAATTCTAGTTAGTTAATTTTTTTTTAGATTTATTTATTTATTCATTCAGAGAGAGAGAGAGGCAGAGAGAGAAGCGGGCTCCATGCAGGGAGCCTGACGTGGGACTCGATCCCAGGTCTCCAGGATCACGCCCTGGGCTGCAGGCGGCGCTAAACTGCTGTGCCACCGGGGCTGCCCCTAGTTAGTTAACATTAGTGTAGTGGTTTCAGTAGAATTTAGTGATTCATCATTTACATATATTACCCAGTGTTTATCATAACCATTGCTCTCCTTAATACCCATCACCCATTTAGCCCATCTTCCACCCACCTTCCTCCACAACCCCTAGTTTATTCTGTATCATTAAGAGTCTCTTATGGTTTGCTTCCCTCTCTCTGTTTTTTTTTTTTCCTTCCCATATGTTCATCTGTTTTGTTTCTTAAATTCCACATGAGTGAAATCACATGGTATCTGTCTTGCTCTGACTTATTTCACTTAGCATAATACACTCTAGCTCCATTCACATCATTGTAAATGGCAAGATTTAATTCTTTTTGATGACTGAGTAATATTCAATTGTGTATATATACCCTATCTTCTTTATCCATTCATCAGTCGATGGACATTTGGGCTCTTTCCATAGTTTGGCTCTTGTTGATAATGCTGCTATAAACATCGGGAGGTAAGTACCCCTTCAAATTTGTATTTTTGTATTCTTTGGGTAAATAGTACAATAGTCAGAGATTGTTTTATTTTTAACTTCAAAAACTATATATTGTATTTATTCATTCATGAGAGACACAAAGAGAAAGGCAGAGACATAGGCAGAGAGAAAAACAGGCTCTCTGCGGGGAGCCTGATGCAAGACTTGATCCCAGGACCCTAGGATCACAACTTGAGCTGAAGGCAGATGCTCAACCTCTGAGCCACCCAGGTGCCCCTATTTTTAACTTTTTGAGGAACATCCATACCGTTTTGCAGAATGGCTGCACCAGTTTGCATTCCCACCAGTAGCATAAGAGGGTTCCCCTTTCTCCACATCCAACAACAACATCTGTTAACAACATTTCTTAACACTAAACACAAGAAAGAATGACCTGGTTCCAAAGTAGCACAAGGTTCACATTTTTACTGCAATCTTTACGTCCTGGTGCTATTTTATTCAACAAGATACCTCTTAAAAATGGCAGTTCATAAGTACAAAAATTGTTATATCCAGCAGGTGGTGTTCTACATAGTTAATAAGAGAATTCTTCATAAAATTGATTTCCAAAAATGCATAATGTCTGATAATTACCTCAAAGGCCAAAAAATGAGCAGAAATAATCATTGGTTAATATTTGGCTTTGAGAAAGCCAGAAATGATTCAATTCCAAGAAATAAGCCATAATGATAAAAGATGTCATTAATATACTATATGCCTTTTAAGCCAAAGCAAACTTTTCACCTCAAGATAGTTCTGGTTTTTACATTCTTAATTCCCTTTGTCCAGGACAGGACCTCAACCTAAGCTATTATTTGACTAGAGTTCCTAATGCACAGTCATCCTCCACAGTATGTTTTCATTACAGTACATAAATTGCAAAATGGCAAATGTCTAAGTCAGTTATAAAGAATTTATAGCATAATAAATGCCAATTTACAAAAACCATCAATAGACTTCTGCGCCAAAGCCTAAAAGTTGCTGCAGTAAAAGTCAAAACTAACATGATTCTTTGATATGCTCAGACTTTGTTTACTACAAATTATTGTCATAAAAAAAAAAAAACAGAGAAGAAATCTTAGTAGATCCCTCCAAAGCTGTGTAATTTTCCAAATGATTCTCCTCGGGTTGTAAGAGCCTGTTCATTCTTTCAATTCTTTTTTAGTCGTTTAGCTTTTGCAATATTTTCTTGACGTTTTTGCTTCTTCTTTTGTTCCTTTTCCCTGGTCTCAATCATCTTGGCCAATTTCCAGGGCGGCATGGCATTTGCTAGAAACAATGAAATAAGAGCCAAAACAACTGTTGTAAGGAAGCCATATGGGTCCTGTGCAGACCATTCCACAACATACTCAGCCCAAGCATTTAGAGCAAACATCCTTCTAAGTCTTATGTTTGAGTAGTGGTCTCCAACTTTGTCCTGAGATTATTAGTGAGCCGATTACAATTTCAGTTGACCCTTGGCTGCTTGTCTTCTTTGGCTCTACCGTACACTTGTGAGACAAGGTTTAAATTCTGTATCTTCCTTCCGCAAGGTGTCCCCTGGACTAGATCTCCAAACCAGATGCTCTCAGCTCCTGAAGCTGCAGCTGATGATACTTCACTGGTATCAGCATGTCCCTTCCATCCTTTGTTTTCCCGCTTGCTCATTCTTCCTTCTCTACTCTATCCAGCCACCGCCCCTCAGGGGCCGTGTTCACCCACACTTCAGCCTCCAGCACGCCTCAGGTCTGCCTGGAAATGGTTGCTTCTACTGGGTACTGGGGCAAAACCACCCACCTCTCCTACATCACAGCTGGGACCATGGGCTCAGACCCCTTAAGAGGCCATTATTGATGGCCCATTATCTTGCTACTTATTTTCTATTTGTCCCATCTGTTCTTTGTTCCTTTCTTCCTTTTTCTGCCTTCTTTTAGAATATTTATGAATCCATCATAAATCTCCTTTTGTTGGCTTAACTTTTTTAATTGAGGTAAAATCCATATAATACAAAATTCCCCATTTTAACCATTTCTTATTAGATTTTATTTTTAAGTAATCTCTACCCTCAACAGAGGGCTCAGAGATCAAGAGTTGCACACTCTACCCAATGAGACAGCCAGGCGTCCCACCATTTTAAAGTGCACAATTCAGGGGCGTTTAGCACATTCTCCATGTTGTGCAACCATCCTAATTACAGAACGTTTTCATTTGCCCATAAAAGAAATCCCATAGCCATCAAGCAGGCACTCCTTATTCTCCCTTCCCCAGTCTCTGGCAACCACGAATCTGCTTTGTCTCTACGAATTTGCCTAATCTGAGCATTTCATATAAATGGAATCGTACATGGCCTTTGTGTCTGGCTTCTTCTCTTAGCATGTTTTCAGAGTGCATTCATGTTGTAGCATGGATCAGTAATTCACTTCGTTTTATAGCTAAATAGTATCTCATCGTATGGATATACCATTTTGTTTATCCATTTATCAGCTGATGGACATTTGAGTGTTGGCTTCTCTTGTTACTTCTGAGTTGTTTGGGATTTATATTATATATCTTTAATCTATTACAGTCTACCTTCAAGTAATATATCACCTTTAATGTAAGAATTTTATAATAGTATACTTTCCTTTCTCCCCTCTTGGTCTTTATGCTAATATTGTCATGCATTTTACTTTTACATATGTTAGAAGCCCCATAACACAATCTTCTCTCCTTTGTGTAGATAATAGATTTCCATCTGGTATACTTTTCCTAATGCCCAAAGAATGTCCTTAACATATTTTGTATAGCAGGCCTCCTGGTGATGAATTTTTTTTCAGCCTTTGTAGGTCTGAAAACATCTTTATTTTGCCTTCATTTCTAATAGATGCTTTTTCTCAAGTACTGCATATTAGATTAACAGGTTTTTTTTTCTTTTCTGTCAGTACTTTAAAGATGTTACTTCACTATCTTTGTGCTTGCACTCTTTCCAATGAGTAATGTCATCCTTAACATTGTTCCTTGATGATGACATTTTTTTTTCTCTAGCTGCTTTTTTAAGATGTTTTCTCTTCACTGGTTTTGAGTTATGATATGCTTTAGTATCATTTTCTTCATATTTCTTGTACTTGAAGTTCATTTAGCTTCTTGGATCTGTGGGCTTGTAATTGCTCATCAAGTTTGGAAAGTTTTTGGCCATTTAACTCTTCAAATAATTTTTCTGTCCCTATCATCACCTCTCCTTCAGGGACTCTAGCTCCACATAGATTAGGTCACTTGAAGCTGTCTCAGTTTTCTTCTTTTGTATTTTTTTTCTCTACATTTCATTTTGGGTAGTTTCTATAGTTGTGCCTTAAAGTTCACTAATCTTTTTTTTTTCAGCAGCATCTAATCTGCTGTTAATCTCATCCAGCTATAAGTGCAATTTGAAGTTTCTTCCTTTTCCTTCTTTCTCCTCCCTTCCCTCCTACCCCTACCTCTTTAATATTTTTAAATCATCCATGCCTCTTTTTTTTTAATTAAGATTTTATTCATTTAGAGAGAGAAAAATAGAATGCACAAGTGGGAGAAGGAGCAGGGAGAGGAAGAGAGAGAATCTCAAGCAGACTTCATGAGAGCAGGGAGCCCAATGCAGGGCTCAATCTTACACCCCTAAAATCATGACCTGAGTCAAAACCAAGATTCAGACGCTCAGCCCGCTGAGCCACCCAGGCACTGCTTCCTTAATTTTTTGAATATATGAAATAGTTAAAATAATGTTTAATGTCCTCTGCTAACTGTAACAATTGGGTCAGTTTAAGATCTGCTTTGATTATTCTCATTATTGATTGTGCTTTTCTGCCTTTGCATGCTGGTAATCTTTGATTGGATGCCAGAATTTTATCTTGTAAGGTGCCGGGCATTTTTATTTGCCTATAAATCTTTTTGAGTTTTGTTCTAGGATACAGCTAATTGAAAACAGTTTGATCCTTTCAAGTCCTTTAAAAAAATTTTTTTTTATTTTTATACTTTGTATATTTTATACTTTTGTATAAAAGTATACTTTGTATATTTTATACTTTTGTATATTTTTATACTTTGTATATTTTATACTTTTATACTTTGTTAATTGGGTCCTGATCAGCTCAGTCCAGGGCTAATTATTTCTCATTTATGAGGCAAGACTTTCCTGGATATCTTATTTTTTTATTATTATTCTTTAATTTTGTTTAAAAAAGTTTTTTAATGCTTTAAAATTTATTTTTATGATGCTTTGAGTCTTGGGGCCTTGCTGATCCTGGAGACTGTCCTCCCAGAGTTGGTTAATTCCTAGACAGTAAACAATTCACCTGCAGAGCATGCCTTTTGTATACAAACTTACTAATCAAACTGTAATTCTAACCACCTTTACCTAATTCTGACACAACAAACCAGTATTTTCTCTAAGTCACGCCAGTACCAGGTTATGGACAACTAGGACCACTTCTGTAGCCAAGAACCCTCTGAATTTATTTGAATTAACCAATTCTAAGCTTACTCAAACTTGCTTACCTTATGTTGCCCATTCTTTTTTCCATGGAAACCGCAAGTTAAGGGCTCTGGGTCATGCTCTCTTCTTACTCCTACTGTCTTCTGATCTACTCTGGGGCTTTTTCATGTGACCTTGAATGGCATGGCATGCTCCCTCTTCTTGGAAATTGTAATCATATCCTTTCAAGGCAGCTGTCTCCATGCCTGTCACTTTACTACACCGAATTAAAACAAAATCCGTGATACATTCTTTTCTTTTTTTTAATTTATTTATTCATGAGAGACACAGAGAGACAGAGGCTGAAACACAGGCAGGAGAGCAGGCTCCATGCAGGGAGCCCGACGTGGGACTCATCCCAGGACCCCAGGATTATGCCCTGGGCCGAAGGCAGGCACTAAACTGCTGAGCCACCCAGAGATTCCCCCCCACACACCTTTTTTTTTTTTTTAAGATTTTATTTATTTATTCATGAGAGACAGAGAGAGAGAGAGAGAGAGGCAGAGACACAGGCAGAAGGAGAAGCAGGCTCCCTGCAAGGAGCCCGATGTGGGACTTGATCCCAGGACCCCAGGATCACGCCCTGAGCTGAAGGCAGACACTCAACTGCTGAGCCACCCAGGTGACCCCCTTGGTACATTTTCAAAGAATGGTCTACCCAGTATTTTTTTGTTTTTGGCTGATGGGAACAGGAACAATTCCCAGTCTTGTGTAATGCCATGCACGGTTATCCTTAGTAATTCTTTCCCTGACCCTGGTTAGTTTCTTCACACTCTCGTGCTGACCAGGATTCTGAGTACTCAGGAGGACCCTCCCACAGATCTCTTAGGTGCTCATGCAGCTTTATTCTGGCACTCTGTCTCATGAACACGAGCTGCCTCAACCTCTCCGAACTCCTAGCTCAGACCTTTCAACTTAGGTAGATTGATAGGGTCCACTTCAGTTTCCCCTCTCTGTTCTACTGCCCAGAAACTCTCACAAGGCAGTAGTAAGCCCATCTCATTTGTTTCCCATCTTTTAGAGATTGCTTTCCTTCAATGTTTGAATTTTGTTTAATTTTCAGGCATGAGACTAAATCCAGGCACTGACCTCCTTTTGGCCAGAGGCAGAAAAAATTCCTACATGTTTTTTTAAGTTTATGGAATACCCAGTAGGTGAGCGTAGAGATTGAGATTGTATCAATGAATGAACTGAATCTAAACCCTCCCTTGTATAGGTAACAAACCAGAGGCCTGGAGCCAAGTGGTAGTGGAGGTAATCAGAACCAGAATCCATCCCTTAAGTCTTGGTCTAGTTATCTGACATCATTTTTTGCTCTGTATCTTATCTTGCCAAGTTGTTTCCCATTTTAGACTAATATATATTCAAACAAAATATGTTTTTAAAAAAGAGAATGTGCTTCAATATTTAGACCTCCATGTGATCTTTAGATTGCTCCTCCCCAACCATGGCAAAAACTTGGAAGCTTTTTCTCTAGAGGGGGTAGGTTTCTGGGTAGGGGGCCTTCCCAGATCTGGAAGACAAATGAATCTGGGCGTACTAGAAAGCTGAAGCTCCCTAGTCCTCTTTCTTCACTGAGCTCCCACAAGGACAGTAATTCAAGGTAAATCCTCCAGACAGGAGACTAGAAGTTTCTTTCAGGGAACCTGACCAGCCCAAGAGGAAAGTCCTAAAAGTAGTATGGACATTAGGGATTTATCAAAAAAAGTTCAATCAGCTCAAGTTACAAACACATATTCTTCTTAATATCCCACCTGTAAATATAAGCAGGCTACCAATGATTGCCAGGCAGCTAAGGAAAGTCTGTAACATGAAAGACTAAAAAAGCAAAACAGAAAGAGGAAGGAAAATATCACGCAGGAAGATGAAAGCTACAGCAAAGTATATTAATGTCCTCAGAGATAAGATACTGCAATCATGGACCAAGTTCCTAATTTGGGGAAGAAAAAAAAAAAAGGAACACTTAGAGAATCAACTTGGGAAATCTTCCACAAAGATCAAAAAACAATGAACAATGGGAGGTGGTAGGGATAGAAAAAATAAGAAAACAAGAGATTGTGGAGGTCAAGAAAAATCAAGGCCATTCCACCTCAAGTTTAGCATTAGCACAAGTACAGCCATCTTAGGCCCCTGTGAATAAGAACTGAACTTTATAGGAAAAACTGCAGAATGTCCTCCATGTCCTCTGCAGGTAATCCCATATCAGAAAGACAACAGAGCCCACACCTTGGTAGCAAGTCCCATATTAGAATGAGAACAGAGCTCAATGCCCTTGAAAGCCCCACATCAGAATGTAAACAGAACTTGAGAAATTCCTCCACCTCTTCTGAAAATCCCCTAGACCAGCCTATAAAAAAACCAGCTGTAACCCACTTCGGGGTCCAAGTCCCTGCTCCACTGTGTTGGGTATACTTGGACCCAAGCTCGAGCTTGCTAATAAACCCTCGTGTGCTTGCATCGGTGTCGGCTCCTTGGTGCTTTCTCGGATTCGCAATGTTGGGCAAAATAAGATAAGTCCAAGAGATCCAATATCTGAAGAACAGGACTTTCAGAAAGAAAAGCCAGAAAATTAAAGGAAGGAAATCAATACAACTAATTCAAGAAAGTTTCCCAGAAATGAAGGACCAGAGTCCATTTTGAAAGGGTTCAACAATAACCTAGCACAATGCATGAAAACAAATCTTCACCAAGGCAAGTCCCTGTGAAATTTCAGAACACAGAGGACAGAATGGAGAGTCACATACAAAGAACCAGGACTAGAATGGCCTGTCTCCTCTAACAGCAACA